AAAAAATATAGGTAATATATAAATAAATTATGTATGAATACTCAGAAAAACATTCCTTTATGTTTTTTATAGAAATTATTTAACTTCAAATCTGAAAAGAAAAATGTGTTTACTTATGAAACTATCAGACTCATATTCATCGATAGAAGTGAGGCATTGGTTGTCATAAAAGATTTTTTCTTGTCAGTACAGGAGAATAAAGTGTTTCACAGAATATTTCCAATACTTATATAACTAGCGAATCAGAACCTACTGATAACCATGAGAATTCTATAATGTGCGAGTATCTCTTCCATCTAAAATGCCATAGTGGTTAAGGGATATGAAGATAATGAGTTCAGAAAATTTATGAATAAGTTACTTTTTGATAAACCTGAAGGCAGAGGTTATTGGAAATACCTAGCCTGAGTTGGATTGATTATGTTGAAGCTTTGGAAGTCAGCTAATAAAAGCTCATAAAAATTAATAGAGCTGAATATAATAAGTACAAATGTACAATCTGTGGAATCTGGGTGTACTATAAATTATTTGTTTATCATCTAAACACTTCAATAAATGTTTTATTACTAAAATAACATTTGAGTAACCTGCTTTTGACAGCAGAATTATATATAATAAACATATAAATAAATGATTAGTATGCTGTGTTTATATGTACTTGTTAGCTGTTTGGCACCATTTTATTATTATTATTTTATAAATTATTTTTCTATTGTTTAACTCTGTTTTAAAATTGTTTGAAACAACAATAATTTTATTGCTGCTTTCCATTTTTTGAAGACATAAAAGATAACAAATACATTGTTTTAACCTCTAAAAACAATTTAAATATCTGAAAAAAATGCTATTTTTACAATTAGAATCCAAGAAGTTAACTTAAACCTGAAAAAAAAAATGATCTTAAATTTTCTAATAGAAGTTATTTCCAAACAAATAGCAGATATTCTAGAAGTTGGTTTCATTGCAGTTTTTGTAAACATGTGCAGATTAAATAGATAATAAATTCTATTACAAATATTAACAATGGTTTCTGCTGGGTTCAAGTAGCCCATCAATATAATATACCAATCACAGAACGAAGTAGCCTATTGTTACGATATCAAAATAGTTGATAGACATCAAAGTATATTATATAGGAATTCATCCTGAAAATATAGCTTACAAAGTAATCAAAAGTAAGGTTTTTTATCTAAATAATTTTCAAAACTAATTTCTACTTCTAAGTTTTTTTTAATGTAATATTTTCTATTTTTAAATACTTTTTATTGATTTACTATTTTTTTTGTTTATTAATCACAACAAATCATAGATGGGCATGATCGTAACCAATGATTTTCCAACAATACAGTTTTCTGACAATGTAGATGTGGGCGAAATGGAGAATTAGTATAGAAGTTCAGTTTTCTTCTTTAATCTCATGATTTGATGCTTGGCTTTTCACCATTCTAAGAATTTTATAATTGATTAGAGGCAGGGGAATGGACACAGGATTGGTACAAATTTACCGTATTTTCATTTGCTTTTCCTCTTTTATCTCTAGAATGAAGGATCGGTTTTTCATCATACCAACTATGTAGATGTAGATGAGAATGGGGCAATGGTGTAGACAATTTTCATTCTCTTTTCCTCTTTTACCTCTGGAATGAAGGACCAGTTTTTCACCGTCCCAACAATTTTCCATCTTTGTAGAGCTAAGTGAAAATGGGGAAATGGTGTAAAAAAAATTCTGAATTTTAATACGCTTTTTTTCTTTTAACACATGAATGGATGCTCGGTTTTTCACTGTTTCAAAAATTTTATAACTATTTAGAGGCAGGCCAATGAAAACAGGAGTGGTGCAAATTTCAGAATTTCTTTCCCTTTTCCTATTTTATCTGTTTTTTACTGTTTCAAAAATATTTTGGCTATGTAGGAGTAGACAAAAATGGGGAAATGTTGATCATTTTCCATATTTTTCTTCTTTTTCCTCCTTTATGTCGTAAACGAATGATCGGTTTCTTACTGTTCCAACCATTTTTCACTTATGTAAAGGTAGGTAAAAATGAGAAAATGGTGTAAATATTTTTTTGAATTTTCATTGCTTATCCTTTTTATCTCAAGAATAAAGGATCAGTTTATCACCGTACCAACAATTCTCTGGCTATGTACAATTAGGTAAAATGTGGAAATGGTGTATTCGGTAAGGGATAATGAAATTTTGACTAATCCTTTATAAGTTTTCAACGCATGCACTGTAAGTAACATTTCTCTAATTTAACCATTTTAATTCAAAAATAATTTTTGTATAAATAATTATTGCTCAAATTTATTCTTAAGACTATAAATATATTATAAATAAAAATAATTTAATATATGAGACTAAAAATCTAAGTAGAGATAAACATAAATTTGTTATAGACGAATTGTGTCTCAAGAATAAATTTGAGAATATTTATTTATAAGAAAATTAATGTAGAATTAAAATGGCCTAATTAGACGAATGTTAGCAACAGTTCATGCATAGAAAACTAGTAGAAGAATTCTTTTTTTATTTTTTCTGGAAAGTTGTCTAATATTCTTAGTTTTTTGGCAATAATTACTTCCAATTGAATATATTTCTATCATCAATGTTACATTTTAACAAGTTGACATTTCGGGATATTTACTCCCATCTTCGGAACTACAGTCCCAATAATCTTGTGGATGCATTTGGATTGCCAAAAAACTAAGATTAATAGAACAATAATCAACCTTTCATCATCCATTACAGATTACACTATTTCCACATTTTTGTCTTCCTTTATAACTGAAAAATTGTGGAAACGATAATAAACCGTTCCTTTATTCCCGAGATAAGAAAAGAAAAGCTCATGAAAGTTCAAAAAAATGTTCACACCATTTCACTAATCTCTACATAACTGAAAAATGGTTGGAAGAGTTTCATTTTCAGTTGTAACCATGTAATCATTGATTACGATTTTGCCCATCTGAGCAACAGATGATTGTAATTAATTTTATAGAAATCTTAAAACCAATAATATAAATTAAAACCAGATAAAAATGAATTAAATATATTTTTAGCAATTATAATATATTCCATTAACTTCTGTGTATGTCTTCGAATTCTGGATCAGTTTAATAATTCCTCCCTTAGAAATTCTTTAAACTTAAAAGGAAAAAATCTTCTAAATTGCATGTTCAATACCATTACTGTTTCTGATAAAATGGTGGAAGAAAGTTTTAATAAACAATTCAATAAAAACTTTGATTTGGAGACTTGGAATGGCAGATTATGATACTCGTCTTTTACTAATTATTCTTCAATCCATTCCTTCTTTTTTTTAAAAATTAACTTAAGCCAAAAACTGATACTTCATGTGACACAAGGCCATATCGATATGGTATACAATCAGAGATGGGCAAATGCTACTCTCAGTACGGAGTACCAAGTAGTTTACTCAAATTCTAACCTTTTTTATCATCAAAGAATTTAATTACTACTTCAGTTGTTGTCATACGATTAACTGAATTACTGTTTAATTCCCAATAGTGATTCAATTTGAGTAAAATACTTGGTACTCGGTACTCAGAGTAGAATTTGTCCATCTCTGCAGGATACAAGTGTTATTTTACAAAGATATAATGAGTTTGTAAAAATATGTGAAATTTATAATAAGAAGTGGCACTTCTGGTTAGCCGATTTTGTTAAAAAGTTGGTGTAACATCCCAGGCATGTAAACCTTTTGAGCTAGACTGTTCACACAGACTATTTTGCGGGACTTGATTATTTAGACTCAGGGGATCTCAAAACATGTATTTTCATTAAAAATGCAGATTTTAAAATTTTAAGATCCCAATACTTTCCCTTACTATATATTACAGATATATATCCTAAATAAGTGAAAGTAAACTATAGTTACAATAAGTGAACAATGCTTTGATTTCATAAAAGTAAAATTAATTAAATTACCTAATGATTTCATTTTCTAAGTGACTTAATAATTTAATGACTAGTGTAGTTGACCAATATAATTTCTTTTTGATTATAGATAATTTTTTTTGTTACATTCTGTTTCAAAAAATTACAAAAGTTACATTGTGAGTTTCGAAAAATGTTCTTTCTCTCATCACAAAAACATATATTATTTTCGATTCCTGATCAGTCTCTTTTTTTCTTTGCTCTTGTTATCAACACATACAAGCTGCCTGTTAATTTTCTACAATTACACATATTAGAAAGATATTGTTTCAATTTATTATTGACCTACAATTGATCACTTCTCAGTATGATTTGAATTACGTTCCTTTGCTCATTTATTGATATTTTGTACTAAACCAACAATCTAGTTGTTTTTTTATTTATTATTTAATGATTGGTGAGAATGGAAATACGATAGTATGATTTAAGTTGTCATTGATCAGAATAAAAAAATATAATTTAATGGATTGTTGTATTTTAATATTGAAGTTATTATTATTGAGAATGAGAAACCATATTAATTCATCATGATCCATATGGATCTATTGTAAGATAAAATTAATATTTGTATTTTACTTACATTTTTTTATACAATGTATTAAAGAATGAAATGAATACTTAGTTTTTACTATATAACTGTGTACCTACCTTCCCTCACTAAATACTTAAAAATGGGATTAGTTTCCTTCACAGTTTCAACCTTGAGAATCACTCATGACAGTCTTCTATAAAATTATCAGTATATTTTTTAATTTGTTTTAAAAAAATGTAAAATACCCATACTTTAATAATTTTCAAAATAATTGGTATGTTATCCCTTCTGGCATGATATCTGTATTGCATTTTTATTTGTATAACATCAAAATACTTCTATAATAATGAATTTATTCATTTAAATATTTTAAAATTATTCTAATATTTTTAATGAAATGTTTTGTATTGTTATATTTCTTTCTATGATATTTATAAGCACAATATTGTCATAGAATTGTTAAGTTCAATTTAGTTCATCCGTTACTCACGAGAGCGCTCTCTGTTTCAGAATGGGGATATAGAAAGCAATTATCCGGTGGGCAGTGACAAAGCCCAAGTCGGTCGTGGGGCCAGTCGCTCTGTAGCTTTCCTACGGCGATTGTGCCTCATAACCTTTAAGATCATTCTCGTTGTTGGTCTTCTGGCAGTGGTAGTTGGCATTCTCTGGTACTTCATGGGGCTTACATTCGTAGTACAGTTGGCCATCGTCGCCTTGGTCGCGTTCCTGGCTGCTGGCAGGGGCTACCGATGGTTCTACGTTGCTTTGATGACACTTCCAAGAGACATAATGTAAGTAATAATCATTCATTTTCCTCCTAATTATCAATTTAATCATCTAATATAAAGATTTAACATGTATAATTCATATTTCACAATCCTAAATAGGTTATTAGTGACAGAGACATTAAGTGTTACGATATAGTATGTTTCATGTTTATTGACAGTTCCCTCTGTTTATTCTTTTTAAAACACTTATCTTGTGTCATAACTCAGTTCATTTCATCGACTTAATAGCTTGTTACTTGAGAGATATAATTGAATAAATTTTTATAACCCCTAATAAATTTCGTTATCAACTTTATAACAATTTGATTTTAACGTAATGAAACACGTCTTAATATAATGCTTAATACTATTGCATGAATCATTATTTTTTAGTGTTAACAGAAATAAATTGAAAGAACCCGGTCAGAGTTAAAATCAAGGGCAACCCAGTAACCTTTGAGTGCGATCTTTTTCAAGTTGTGAATAGTAGGTCCCTGAACTCGCTTGCTTGTAAACAAGTTTTTTAGATTTGTTTTAAAAAGCCACTTAGAGAGTAGAACGCTCTCAACCGATTTTATTTTAAGACTTATACCTTATTGTTAGTGTGTGTTTGTATTTTTGTTTGTATAATTAAGGCATTTTATTGATAAACTTATTGATAAGGTTTGGTCTACAAATGTACTGATATGAAATCTGTCATGATTACCAATTACCTGTAATTCATAGAGTTTTATTATTTTTATTTTCATTAATCAGTTATATTATAAAGATTGATCAATTAAAATGACCTTAGTGGAGAGTTTTAAAAAAGTTCAACAGTTCTAGTAAGTTTTAATAATCAATAAATTATAACTAAACCATGAAGAAGGAAAATTAATGGTTTATTTTTTAATTTAATTTAATTTTTAAAGTATTGCTAGTATCAATTTAGAAATAATTCAGATACTGATTATGATTATTAAAAATTTGACCATTTAAATCAAATATTATATATATTTTTTAACCACTCTTTCTGATAAAACTACTAATATTCTCATTATCTTTAAAATTATCCCACAATTTTTCATTAAATTCAGTTCTATAGTTTGGAAAATATAGTGTTTCTTGAATAATGACTTGCGATATGAATCAATATACATTTTTAGTTTTTCGTCCTTGAATTTTATAAACTTCGTAATTTTTGGTTCTAATTAATGGATGTTTCTTCGTACTATTGATTAAAATTTGACTGTATATAATTGAGTTCTAATATATTATTTAAAATTAAAATTATTTGTATTTTTTCGCGAGGTTAATTTACTTTAATTAACGCGAACTTACATTATTAACCTCTTACCTTACTAAAATAAATCTTTTTGTAAACTTAGGAGAATTGAGAGCTCAGATCAGTTGATATAGGGAAGAACAGTGACAATTTTTTTATATAATATTTTTAGATCCATTCTAGTCATGCAAGTAAAGTATAGAATTAGGAAGTAGATCTTAATTTCTGTACTTTGAATTCATTATTATTTTATCTATCTATAGATACGCAAGCACTTAATCACTTCCGATAATTCAGGGTAAGTTTATTTTGAGGACCCTTTAAAAAAAAATCTCTAAGTGTGAGACTTTTCAGTAAGTGTTGCCGGGAAGGGTTTAATTTTGAGAACCCCTTTTAAAAAAATATTTAAAATTAAAAAAGAATTGTTACATCATGTGTAATGTATGTAATGTTCAATAAATTAATTACCCAACTGAATTTAAATATGTATTGTTTAAATCGTTTCCAAAAACTAATTAATCAAATGAAAAATATATATCATCCATTTTCTACGTTTTGTTAACAAATATTATTCATTAGTAAAAGATTAGTTTAATTTTAATTATAATTAACCTTCAACATCTACCTGTTTTGTTAACTTTTTTATATTTATGACTTTATTTTTAATACTACACCTGTCACTTAAATCGCCATAATAAGCGGATGTGATTTAAATATAACACATGATATAACAGGAATGTCAGGCATGCAGAGAGACCAGTACTCATTAACAGCCCTCTTAACGTGAAATTCTTCAGTCTTTCTAGATCTCTTAGCCAGCTTCTTTTCAGCTTCTTCTGGCACGTGCAGATTATCTATTTATGTGTGTATTTTTTACGATTTAAATTGGATTATAAATATTCAGAAAATAGTTCAAAGATATTTAACTTTGTCTTTGAGCGTTTCTATCCATATTTGCCATCTTCGATTTGAATTTTATTCTTACCCTGATGGTGACCTCTGTGTCAGGTAATAGTTAAGATTGAAATGTAGACTTAAATAATATTTTCTGATTAATTTCCTAATTATTTATTATCCAAGATAAAAACTAAAAACTTTTTCTAATCGGCCTAAGTAACAAGTTCTTTTCATAAGTTACGTAAGAGTCAACACAATCTCAGTCTTTGATCTGGTTGCTTAACGTTAAGTGCACAGTGTGAAAAGCTGAATCGATCCATCTCACTAATGCTGGAGCCCTTGACACCAGAGAAGAGCATGGAGTAGGTCATGGTTTAATAAAAAGCAGGATCGAATCCCGCCCGAACAGATTACATTCCAACACAAATATTTAAAGCAATTCTTGGCACCAAGTATTTAGAGTACGATTTCACCTTTACATTTAGCATTTAGCGAAAGTAGAGCTAGTGTTATAATTGCTAAGCTAATATCGAACTTCATTTAAACGTTTTAATCACCACAGTATCCCTTCTCTCTGTACATATGTATATTTTATGAAAACCTCGCAACTTATGATACAAGATTTTTCTCATTTATTTTTATTTTTACTTCCGCTAAACCACGCATGAACCTTATGGTAATAAAAGTATTACGATCATGAATAATTTGTAATTAGGAAATATATCCTTTCAAATTCCCGTTAGTCCAAATAATCAAGTCTCGCTAAAAGGTCTGTATTGTATGTGAGTAGTATAGCTAAAAAATCAACAACTAAGGTGTGTGCTTTAGACCACACGATAGAAATGAAAACATCAACAAGGCGGGATTAATAATCTGAAATATCAATTATAAATAACATCTCATTATAAAGAGGACGAAATTCTGAACATTTCTCTCGCTATGCAGGTCGATTTTTAAGTTTCTGAGATATTTTAATTCATGTCTTCCATAATACTCGTTATCATTTTTTTGGTTTTCGACACTATTTTATCCTTTTCGCCTCTATAATACGGCACATAGTGGGACGAGTATGGGAAAACTCGCGACATCGACTAAATCTATTACTTTTTTTTTTGATCTTTGTATTATTTATTGACTATTCAGTAAAAGCAGTGAAAACGACTCTCCGGCTTTACTCTAGCGTTACACATCGGAGATCTGACGACTCAATCTAATTCACTCTCCACAAGTGCAAAACAGGACTAAATAATTTTCTCTTCAAAAAAAGTCTTACGAAACTGAAATAACGTATTTAAGGAAATTATACGCCTGTGATATTAGAGCAACTTCTTCGTCAAAATTGACTCTTCGGGAATTTTGTTTTATACCATCGATATTATACATTTTTACTACTTTCTCTAAAACGACTACTTGTTATGTCGATGTAAAATTAATAGATATTTTGTATGATGCTGCTATTAACCTCATCGGAATAGTTTGACAGAATTTTTTTTGTTTTTTTTTTTTACTCCCACCTGTCAAAAGTCCTGAATCCAGCGAGTGTGATGTCGAGGTGTAGAAGATTGGAATAGGCGTGAGTGAGAGGAGTGCCCAGTGGCGTCCTTCCTGTCTTAAATTTAATATTTGTAGTCAGTAAAGGAGATCTCTCATCCAGCTTCTTTTAAGCTTGCTACAGGTGCTATCGGACATATTAGTTGCGATCATGCCTCGAATCAGTGAGTTGGTATGTCCGTGAAAGTTATTGCGAAATCTTTTGTAGTATGTTTCTATGTGGTCGTTGATTTTGGCATCTGTTAGTCTTTATGTTAAGTAATGTTATTGATGTTCCAGAGAACCTTGGTGATAGTCTTGAAAGTTTTTGATTGAAAAGTCTGTAGATTACGTATGTGAGCCATTTTGGCTAAATGCCGAATTTTGAAAATTTCTTCCCCTAAAGTACCTTTAATTTTGTTTATAAGGAATAATTAAAGGTATTATTTCATTGTTAATATTAATAAAAAAATCTGATACGGTGAGCGTATCACACAACTTCCCCTTATTAACCTTAGTAGATATGAGTAGATAGGTATTATCATATACTCGTATAAGGAAATCAAAGTGAAAACGACTCCCCGGTTTTACTCAAGCGTTACACCTTGGAGATCTGACGACTCAATCTAATTCACTCTCCACAAGTGCAGAGCGGGCCTAAAGAATTTTCACTTCAAAAAAAGGAATAATTAATCACCATATTTTTTCCCGCCTGTCGAATCTGTTATATTAATACGTTTGCATCACTTTCCACTTTCCGTTGAAAACTCAGATTAGAAATTTTTCGCGATTGCAATACTTTCTCTTACTATATATTGCATACATAGGTAAACGAAAATAAGAAAAGGATAAATATCAAATATCGAAGATTTTGATAATTAGATAAAAATCAAAATTAATATACTTAATTGTTTAGTATATAATGATTCTGAAATGTGGTAGGCTGTATACATATGGAAAGGGAGGTTAAATTTATTCAATGGTTATAACTTTTTAAATTGTGATGAAAAATTTAATTTAAACTGTATTCTGCTGTCAAATTTCGTGAAACGGACAAAACACTAACTTCTGTTAATTCGATTTGATGCTGTTTTCAGGGATTGTGTTGGTCCAATATAGATTTTATCAAATGCTGTCTATTTATTACGCTTAAGCGTGCGTTTTTCCTTGATAAAACTTCAAAAACTTTTTCTTCGGCAGATTTTGATCCTAAACAATAAATTTTGGACCTTGAAATTGAGGTAATTATATAAACATTAGAAATGGCGAGGAGGCGATACTAAAGCTAATTGCTAGACGTTTATTTTGTATTATAGTTATTATTGCAGTTAAC